TAACCTACTGTACAGCAGAGCGACAACCACTTACTTAGCCGCTCTTTTTGTTTATATTTTGGTTATTTTTGTGTACCTTTTTAGTATCTATTTGTTAGACATATAATTATTATTACTTGTAATACCTATGTAATATTACCTATTTAAGATAAGCTAAACAGTATTGAAGTAAAACATATAAGATCAATCATTAAAGCAGAATCCTATCTTGTAATATATTATATAATACATGACATAATGTTTTTCCCTTATAAACAATACTCGCGATAATKGCAGTTCTGAGGAATCTATACAAAGCCAAAACACGTGTGTAGTATAATGTATATAATAATTACTATTGTCTTATAAACAAACCTTAGCAAACGGAACGGTGCCGACTTGGGAACAACGAGAAGCGACTCTCAAAAAGGAAAGGCATGACGATYTGGTTCACGAAACGGTTGCAGTCGGTATGATGTTTGCATCCAAAGCGGTCGTTCAGCTAATGGTTAACCCCATTGTCGGACCTCTCACCCACAGAATCGGTTATAGCATACCAATGTTCACTGGATTTATCATCATGTTCATATCGACCATAAGTAAATACCCCATTTAGCGTCAGGTCGTGTTTGAGATTGTGTCTGACACGCACCCATAGGCGCAAATAACGAATTAAATCAACTTGAGCCCTAWACATTTTTTTTAACGGAAATCCTACGTGGGTAGATAGCTATAGCTTGCCACTCACACACTCACAGTTTATTCAGAATAATKATTTTATAGTTTTACAATAAGCTTTCTAGAAAATGATTATGATTGTTGTTTATGATTAATTTATGTTAAATTGACATTCTTGTCAATTTTCAGATACTGAAAATAAAACTGACCTCAATAATTATATATTTTTGAACATTAAGTAGGTATCCGGTATACCTAATAACTAGCATTAAATTGGTTTTACAACGCTATTGTAGACATAATCTTCGTTTTAAATTAGACATGGCGCACAATGATTGTATAATGAGTATTCRTTTCTATACACCGTACAAGATATATTYACTATGAATAGTTCATACGTAGCAGAGTAAATGTTTTAAATTATGTGAACTGTGAACAAATTGTTTTTTACAATTTTGTTTTTAAAAATGCGTGCCTGATCGTTAGACATATACATTTGATATATTTGTTAGGTAAATACTCAGTGCCTATAATATTCTCTATCTTATTTGCGCCTACGCATATATTATGTATTTATGTTTATTATATATTATATGTATTATATTATGTGCTTACTTTTTTTAGTATTTGCTTTTGGACGGAGTTATGGGGTACTGTTTTTAGCTAGAGCACTACAAGGGATCGGATCGTCTTGTTCGACTGTTTCTGGTAAATGAATATACATTGGCATATTACACATACATAACGACAAGATATGATAGTAAATTAATATTGTACCTAATCATGACGATAAAAAAAAATTCTTGCAAATTATTTTTTTTTTTTTTATATAGCCTTTATCTAACTCTGTTAATTTGTACAAACGCTCATTTACCTGTATGGACATTTTTTTTTATAGGAATGGGAATGCTAGCTGAACGGTACCCAGACGATAAAGAACGAGGAAACGCAATGGGTATTGCATTGGGTGGATTAGCTTTGGGCGTATTAATCGGTCCACCGTTTGGCGGAATTATGTACGAGTTTGTGGGGAAAACTGCTCCATTTTTGATACTCTCAGCTTTGGCACTAGGAGATGGATGTACGAAAAATTGAATACTAAGTTTAAAAAAAAAAATTTAATTAAAATCATGTCTAAGGGTGATGATTTGCGGTTTATGATCTTAAACTATAAAGGTATTCGAGTAAGTAATTAAACCAAATAACACACTTTGCATACGTTTGGTCGTATATAAATCACAGTTGGATTGAGCATTGTATGAGACCGTTGGAGACAGTATACTTAGTATAGGTACTATAGTTTATCATTTTATTAAGCGATATTGTTTAATAAAAAATGATTCACTAATCTAACGATTTAATACTTATTGTTTCGTATTAAAACACGTGAATGTTATCAAGTACCTAATACATCTATGACCAGTAGGTACTTATATTATTATATTAAAGTACGCGTGGCCTATTCAAACGATAAATTAACGACTTAAACTGATATATTTTTTTTTATTTAAATATTCATACTTTATTATTTTTTTAGTAGTTATGAAATCTAAAATCTAAATCTGTATCAGAACTAATCAGAATTAGCCTGTATTAGTGTTGAGTAAGTAATTTTAAATTTTATTATTATTTTCAGATTGAATTGGGATTATTCTAGGTATAATACTTATTTTTTTATTTTGCAGTCGATGTTCTATATCTAATTCTGAGCTAAGCGATGAACTATTTTAGTCTTATGAATAATGGTGTATTTCAGACATTTTTTGAGATAGTAAGAGTGGCCTAAATTTGTTGTACACAATAATATATAATACATCGATTWGAAAGTGAATACCTTCAGGCTAAAAGTGATATTTAAAAACAGTAATTCGATAAACAATAAATTGCGATAAAAGTTGAATGTAATAATGTATTAATGTAAAAGCATCTTTTTTTTAAACATAACTTTTGCCAATAGCACCAAACATGAATCTCAAATGAAGGCCTCACTACCCCAGATGAGTATTTTACACTATTACATTATATTATATCGGAATGTATAAAATTATTTATATAATTGCCCATRATTGATTTTTATTATTTTAATGAAACATTTTTAAGGTGGACGAGTAGGTATAACAAAATATTTTTGATTTCGGTTCTATTTGAGTTTTTGATGCCGTTATAGCCAAGATTTTCTGACAAACAGGTCTCCATCCAAAATTGTTATTTTAGTAAAATAATATAATACTATCACTATTCGCTATAGTGATATACAATCGAAAATTATAATATTGTGACTTTCACCGAGGTGAATCAAGCGAGACGAGTGCCAAAAATATAGTGTCTGCGGTATCCTAGCTATAACAACATTTTTGTTGTCCTTAATTAGCATTTAAAAATATAATTACAGGCGTTACTCAGGACAACCACCTACGACTTCTATATACCATATGCAGACTTCGGTTAGGTGATTTCTGCCATTTWAATTTTAATCGCATTTAGTGAAGCTGAATAGCTCCATCTATTTTCGTATCATTAAGTTCCAACACATTATTTCCACAACTCAGTATCGACAGCATCATTCAATAGGTGATAAAAATAAGTAATACAATAATAACATATCGAAAATGGAAAATGGAAAAATATATTATGCTTTATACCTACTGTTAACAATATATCTATGTTTAAACACGTCTTACATTTACCAGCCAAAAATCTCAAACAAAACAAATTGGTCACGTACTTTATTCATAATTATTTATGAAAATGGGCACCTTTATATTATGTCTATTGTTTATAGTAGATATATAATACTGGACCACAACCAAACATAATTAAAGTAGGTATGCATAATCATCTATAGATTATACATCTAGGTCAATATAACCATATCTACATGTTACACCAGTGAAAGAACAATGTACAAATTTGTTGATAACATTGTTGAACATTATTTTATTAGTACCTATATAATAAGTTAATTGATAGTATACCTAGCTACTACCCATTTTGTATGGAAATTAAAACAAAGTTGTGTTTGTGATTAACGCGCGTTTATTTAAAAAAATAAGTATCGATGGAATTATAAAATAATTAATAACTAATATTGATCTTAAAACGCATTTTATGTTTTCWTTTTTTGGAAAATCTAATTAACAGTGAAGAGAATCAAATTATTTAAATTTAATTCCTTTATACTATGCGTTTTGAAAACATAATTGGTTTATCTTTCTTTTGAATAAACATTAATTACAATTTTCAAAGGAATATTTGAAAAAAAAAATAATTTGAATTCTGATAATAATTTTTGTATAACGTCTCTATACGCATATAATTATAATACGATAATACGGAGTGCTGTTTGATGGGTGGCATATTGGAGCTTATTCCGAGRACCCTATATTTCCAGTATTATACCTAATATTTTCGTGGGGTAAAATAATTATAAATTTACTATCATCAAAMATTCAAATGATTATGTTTTCAGGGGAATTATTAAAAGCTTGGTTTTTATCATAAAAATAGACTGGTGAAAATAATTTGATGTTTTAAATTGATTAACTGTAATCAAAATCTAAAAATTTGCCACTTACCAACTACATAATATACAAAAAACTTTATAATACGACTTTCAAAGAACAAATATAAATCTAAATATCCTAAATTTGAAATAACAAAACTGTAATAGATAAGTTGTTCGAGATTTACTTGGTTGGTTCACACTTCTTAATACTTTATAAATTTTTTCATAATAATGTAATTAAAGTAAGATAATCATATGMTATTAATAYAAATWGGTACCAATCATTATTATTATTATTACTATTGGCTTCAATATAACATTATAGTCGGCAGTATTATAGAAGATATATATAGTTATCAATTTATGATTGCATGTATATAATTTTGACATTACTTAATTTTTTATATGAACAAAAAATTAAACAAAATGTTTAATTATTTGGTCATGGATTATATAAACAATTTAAATAGATGTGCTTAACACTGCACTGTTTGTGTAGGTATTTAAGATATAGAATTTATGTAATAGCACTTAATCAACTTAATACCTACCTGATAGGTACTTTTTTTTAGTAGTTAAACTGTAAATTAATATCACTATGACACTGTTTATCTTAAAATATAGAGTATTTACATTTTATTTTTCTACAAATAAGTCAATGTTTCTAAGCAATTGAAATAATTCAATGTAAAATAGAATTTAATTTTATACCTACTTCAATAAGCACCTTTAAACATAAATTAAGAAAAAATATCAATACAATTAATTTTGATTGAATAGAAAATTACGTGATAGTCGTCTTATCACGCTGAGAAAAATGTTGCTTAGAAATACTTTTATTATTATTTATATTAGATGTTTTATTTGGTGGTATATTAAGTATACATATAACAGAAATATTAAACCCATTACTAATTAGTATTTTGGTGTACCTAAATATAACTTATAATATAGGTACATATTGTCTTTATCGGTCTTATATAATACTGGTTTGTATTCCATATTTGCACAAATTTATTTCATTAATTTTTTTTTTTAAATTTCGTCTAGACATTGTATTTAATTCTTTAATAAAAAATGTTTAGAAAACTTATATAATATATTATAATGATTATAAATGTATTTAAACGTCTGATTAATTATTCTATAGTGTTACAACTACTGCTTTTACAACCAGGAGTAGTCACAACTGATGCCGATCCTCCTTCCTTAAAATCTTTAGTCATGGACCCCTATATAATAATAGCTGCAGGTAATATAAAAAACTTATAAWTTATTTTTWWWWAAAAATGTCATMAAAAAAAAATTATTTTTCTAAGGCGCTATTACTTTCGCTAATACCGGAATCGCAATGCTTGAGCCTTCTTTACCTATATGGATGATGGATACTATGGGTGCCGGAAGATGGAAACAAGGAGTAACTTTTTTACCGGCTAGTATTTCTTATTTGATCGGAACAAATTTGTTTGGACCTCTCGGACACCGTATGGGAAGGTATTTATAGTTATGATGCRATTTAATCGCAATAAATTGACCATGACGATGTCTGTAACGACTGCATTTACAGATGGTTAGCTGCAATGATTGGATTAATCGTTATTGGGATTTGTTTGATGATAGTAAGATACAATTTTGATTTTTTCTAATCTATAAAAAATATATTGCACCTTTACTTATATATTTTATTCTGAAACGGTGTACCGTTATTATTATTCCGAACAGATACCAACGGCGAGAGACATAAATCACTTGATTGTACCGAACGCTGGTCTTGGTTTTGCTATTGGTATGGTGGATTCGTCAATGATGCCCGAGCTTGGCTATTTGGTTGATATACGTCATACAGCTGTATATGGTAGTGTTTATGCGATTGGAGACGTGGCGTTTTGTCTGGGCTATACAATTGGTAAGTATTGCGAAATAATTTAATATTCAAGTCAAATGGGATACATATTTTTAAGAATGCATGCCTAAATTTCATTTATATACATAATCATCTTACGATTATCGACGAACATTTACACACTATACGTCTATTATTAATTATATAGGGCACTTCTTTGCACACATAGTTCCAATGTATATGTATGTGTTYGTAAAGATTTGCATTAGGTGAAATATTACACTAAATGATTAAAAATGGCAATGAATTATTCAATTTTTAAGATAAAATTATCTTTTGTAACTTCATAGTGTAGATACCTACATCAGATATATTAGTTTTCAGGTATTAATTTTATTTTAAGTTCAAATTTAGGTAGGTACCTATCCATCGCCGAAAAATAATTAAAACCCATTAAACRCGTTTCTTTGACACAATAATAGTTTTAATTAATAGTAATATTATACATACCTATTTAAATTTTAAGAGGATAAACACGAAACATGTCCTATTGGAATGCAATTTTTTGTTTATAAGTTATCTATTTTTATTACATAATAAGATATTGTAGGTACTTCATCTTAAGTTAACATTTAGACAACGATTATTTCTTATACATTTCCTGGTAATTAACCGATAATATATATACGTCTAACAGGTTACATGATTTGAGATTACAAAACAATTGTAATGTCAATATCATTTATAATTTTWTTCATAAACACGCATTAACAAACTCATCACGAATGTACCTACGCCTCATAAAATAAGCATATTGTAATCATAACAGTATAAAATGTTATAWAAATGATATCTCATGCCTACTTAATAATTTATAGAGAATAGTGTGTGGAAGAATAAATAGATATTATATAAAAATCAAAACTAATAAATTACCTACCTATTATTCTGATTAATATATTATTWAAAAACAATAATAGGTACTACATTATTATAGTGACTAGTTTTAAAATTATTCAACACAAACTGATATTGCGAGTACCTATACGGTGAAATTATCTAATGRCATGTATGACTGTTTAACTGTTTGAGTTATCTAAAGAAAAAAAATGTATTAATTTCTGAAATCAAATAAAGACAAATCAGTAAAACTCAGCTTCAGTGCTTTGTATAAAATATTATATATTTTTCAACATATACATTCTACAAACACGGGTTTTCATAGTTTTTTTTATATGAAATTCCGTCTTTATAGAATACCGTAATTCACTAGGATTAAATCGGACATAATCGGTTGCCAACCCTTATTGTTCATTGTTATATCTTATTTCTTCTCTCTATTGTCCTTGTTCGTCGTTCTTCAGTTGATGTTTGCAATTTTCAAACACAATACACCCTTTGAATCCTTGCGTTGTCTCTCGATAACTATGACCTCGATGCTTTCCTTCCATTATAATAATACCATTGGCCACTGACCATAGCTCTTACAGTATTTTTGGATCAATTTTTTCGGCATTGCAGGTTATTTACTACAACAGCATCGTATTTCGTGTTTTTAAAATATAAACTACTTATCTACTATTTTTTCACACCTCCGTCTCAAATATATATAAATTTAAAATATCTGCAATATTGATAAAAAAAAAACAAATAAAATGCCACTATATTATAGCTATTATATCAATGGTTTTCAATCTGGGTGCTAAGTTGTATTGAATTGTAATATTAAAATTAATAAAATTAATATAATGCGTTCAATCGTCATATATCTGTTATATATACGTATATATCCCATCAAGCACACATTCAATTAAACAATATAATCTAAATTAAAAGCATATTTTATATTTTGTTTATTTAATTTGGGACGAAAAATTAATTTGAAAAAGACAAAGTGTGACTTGGAAATATTTTGAAGAGCACACTATGCCGTGTTTAATAAAAACCACTTTATTATAATATACATGAATAATACATCATGTTTGTGTGTGTTTACTATTAAATTAGTTGATAATATTTAATTTGAAAAATTCATTCATGAAAATTCAATCTGTTTTCGCTAGGACCGGCTTTAAGTGGAACTTTGGTGAACACAATTGGATTTGAATGGATGTTATTTGGAACGGCCATGCTGAATTTCTTGTATGCACCACTYCTCTACTTCCTGCGCAGCCCACCGACAAAAGAAGAAAAAAAAGTAAAGTGTTTTGAAATTTCAGATAATTAAATGAACGAATAATATTAAATTTTTAATTGCCAAAAACAAAACATATAGACTATGGTTATATATGTAAAATGTACATTGTACATACCTATGCTTTAATCGCAATATTATATGTTCGATTCTTTACAAGATAACATGTATGTATTTTTAATAGATAAAACTTCCCGAGAATATTAATTGTAGATTTATAATTATTAGATATATACAAGAAATTGTTTTGTCTCTATGTAAGATTACTTTTTTAACTACATGTGTAAGTACAAATAGTGATTTGAACTTTGAACACTAAGAGTTAAGATACACAGACTCTAGGAAACATAGAAGATAATTTACCAACCAAATGACCATTATTTGAAGTCTTCAGGAAATATTAAGATTATAAAATGTTTTTATTTTGATAACAYTCCTACGCAAAACAAGGATAAATATACGTAATTCGGACATTTTTTTTAATGTGTAATATACAATTTTTMATTTAGGAGTTCATCATCGATATGGATTATATGTTTCAAAATGTATGATAAAAATATAAAATGTAT